TGTCGACAATCGAAGCAAAATACCTAATGATTGCCTTGAAAATAAAAAGAAAACAGCTGTATTTTTTCTAGAGAATTTTTTCCACCCGATATGATGCGTTATAGGTATAGTCAACTATTTTGACTGAAAACTTGTATCGATAATCGATGCCAGTAGGTAACTAGAACGATAGGCGTTCTGGATCATCAGACCACCAACTACGATGGTATATAATACTTCTAACTTACTGTCATCTGGTTTCCCAATACCAAAATCATGCAGTACAGTTTCTCTTTCCTCTCCAGTAGACCTTTTTTCGTTTCCTGGCTTCCAACATTTTTCTTATTGAAAAGCTCTATATATATAAATATGTAAATATGTAAATAAATATATATAAAGCATTTCTCTGGAGACCAAAGTGCTGTACATTCCTTTGCAATTGCTATTAGTCAGATGGTCGAGTTAAATAATACGAAAATTTTTGTAGAATACATTCATGAATTTCTGTAGTATACATGTGTCTACGTGTAGGTGAAGTGCAAGTGAGAGCAGATCTGAAGAGTGTAGATACGACAAGCAAGCAGCATATATATACACAGAGATATGAATGTGAGGTATACACATGGCTTTCAGTACTCGTGACCACGAGGCCGTTTATTTTAAGAACTTCTTTAAAAACTCTACTGCACTAACGGGAAAAGCTAAAGGGAAGGAAGACAGAGAGAGCTTTTGCACTCATACCGGCACCTGAAGAAAAACGAAAAGAATCGAGAGGTGAAGAGGTTGGGGTAGAAACGGCTAGAGAAGGAAAAGAAGTACCTAGGCAACTTGCGCCTTGAGCTCCAAACCATTAGACAAATTTTATCTATAGCAGTCGTATAAGTTAGAACTCTTGGTTCCGTTTCCTTTTTTTTCCTTGCTCGCATCTTTCTCTTTTGACTCCCAGTCGACATACAGGTAGCGAGTCTCGACTACTCAGAATTCGCATTTTTTCCTCCTTCTCTATCTTTTTCTTTCGTCGTTTATTTTTTTCTTTTCATCGCTATCTTTTGGCCTTGCCTCTTTCTATGTGAAAGTTTATCGCTCGTAGAACCAACAGGGGAGAATCCATGAAACTTAGTCAGTGAGTTTGGACTTCTCCAACGATGTGGGCTTGGTAGGGAAAAGTGAGAAAGAGGAAGCAATGCGGAAGGTGGACTTATATCACTCTACAAGTCGTCCAATTCTAGCTCTTCCTTTTCTTTAACTTTTTTTAACTTCATTTTCTCATGCTTCTTTTTTAATCCAATTGATTTCTATAACATACTAGTAAGCTATCCTAATTGTTTGAACAAATATCAAGAAAAAGCAAACTCAATGAAATACCAGAAGATCAATTTACACTAAATTTCTTGAAACATTTACAAGGTATGTTTTTCAATGCAGTTGTTTTCGTTGTGAAAGTACTACAAAATACTGCTATGCCAGCTAACTACTCCAAAGTGTACGCTTATTTTAACTAGCAAGCAAGTAAACTTTATTCTGTTGATGTTGTTCATGCTGTTCGTTCTTTTTCATACAACCGTACATCGTTTTTTGAAGAAAATTTATTGTAATTAATGTACACAATCAACAGCAAAAATTTCAACCTGCTAACGTTAATTAACCGTTTTAACATGGTTCAGAAATTGTATCTATTTACAAGAGCGTAAAAAGAATCTACAACGGCATGTGTATTTTATCTTGACATTTCATTGACATATTGAGATAAAGTTAATAAACTGAATACAAAATTCAAAGTCTACAACTCACTGATGTATTGAACTTTGAAATCCATGAAATGTCAGAGTAAAATGCTAGTAAAACAGATATTATATGAGCTCTAAATACAGTATTTTTTTAGTGTTTATATCATAGATTTATTGAGCTTAGCCTCTACCCAAACATATAGCACGATAAAAAAATTCATGACTCAGTAATAAAAAACTGAATTAATACGAAAAATGTATACTTTAGTACGTTATTAATCTCTATCTTTAGTATAAGAAATAATCGATATAATCTTAATTTAACAGTCTAATAAAAGTATATGGTTATTTTTTCAGATATTACTAGTGGGCTATAAATTTAATTTCAATCTAAAAGGGATACAATGGCAAAATGAACGCAAGTGTTCTTGGAGAAAATTGTAGGAAAAAGGAATAGTGGAACAATGCGATCGACACCTTAGCACGTGAAAAACGTAACTTTGTGAGAACACGAGACTGGCTATTTGAGAAAAATCGAGAACAAGGATATACTCAGTAAGAAGCGAATGAAGTTTTCCCTGGGCTGTAACAAAGCCAATTTCATTGGACATTTTACCGCGTCCCCTGCAGGTATATCCAGAGAGACTTCTTGTGATGTGAAATTTTCTCGCATTTTCTGCTCCATTTATATATTATTCTCTTTATTTTATTCTTCAATTTACTGTCTACAGTACAGTTTTATTTAATTGCAAAACATATATTTACTTTAATCATACTTTTATTTAATAAAGTTACAATTAATTATGTCATTCACACATTGTTGTTTTGTTACAGATATACTTTCATTTCATTGAAAATGTGCTGACATTTTTCCCAGAGGAAAATTCAAAGCCTAATGCTTGAATTATAAGCATAGTTATAACGTCAATATCTATCTCACGTTTCGAATGGTTGCATCGATAGATTCATCTCTCAACCGTACCAGTGGCCTAGGGCTACTAGCTGACGCAAACGAATCGTTTATCGACTACTTGATTGTCACAAATCGTCATTGTCGGATATCCCCTCCGATTGGATGATTTTGATGAAAATCCATCACCTGTGATCATGTAATAGTGAATATTCCTTTACATGAAATGAACACTGGCTTTGATAAATTCATTGTATATATATCGCGTCATTGACAATACTTTGAAGTGCAACGAGTGTTATTTGCATACAAGAGAGATGAAAAATGGAAGCAAGAATGAAGGAAAAAGTTAAAAAGGGAAGATAGAGAATTGTTAGGCTAGTTTCGTTGGATTTTATGGCATCCAGCCCAGGTTTAGGCTTCGTGACAAAACTCAACAACCAAGTTCTTGCACTTTAGAACCTACTGCACCATGCGGACAATTTTTTATAACCGCCAACAACTTTGAAATCGGTGCATACCATTTATAAGATATCTTTTAATCGTTACTTTATCATTTTTTAATTGAAAAATAATAATAACAAATGATGGTATCATAAAAAAATTTCTGAATAATAGCATTATCCACAATTCTCTTGAAAGTTTAATAATAATATTCAACTTAACGGTATATGAATATTTTATCGAAAATCATTTTTAGAGAGTTCATTATATAACAAGTATGCTTTTATTGATAGTATAATTTTGGTTAATGTTGATGATGAAGAAATACGAGTAGAGTCTACGGTTGATGATAAATTAAAGTTTCTTCTTTAACTTTAGTACACATGCATGATTTAAATCCTTAGAGAATATTTCTCTTCATTATTGATGCTTTTCACTCTGTACTCTATGCAATTTAAATGAAATTCCATTTTAAAGATTAATCTCTTTAATCTAATCAAGCCACACTTCTAATTAGATAAATATATATTTTAAATATTATTCAAGTCACATTATAACAACGCAATAACTTTTAATCTCTTGATGTTAAAATATTTCAAATTTATTTCAAAAGTTCGAAGATCCGCTTACTACTTCAAGGTTTTAGATACTTTCATTCTCAGAATGTAATTTCCCATAACGATTTCCTACTGTTCAGATTACAATCTGTGAATTACAATTTTCATTATACGAACTTATCGGATATCGGTTGAAATATGAATTGTTCACGTAATGGTGATATTTCAGTATTGGCCACCCGCAATCTTCTTTTTAATTAAGACCTAAAGTCAGTGACAAACATGAGGCCACAGCGCACGCGCTTTCCATAAACTACCTAGTCTTTTCCATAAATGCAAAAATCAATAAACGCTGCAACTTTTTTACTTTAAGCAACCTGTATATGAATCAACGAGATGCACTTAATATATCTTCAATTGGCTGATAGGTAATTTAAACTTTTAAATATCGACAGACATCTCTATTATATCCAAAACATTGAAGATTCGATTTCCATTTAGCTTCCTCGTCGCGTCCAATCGATATATACTAATCGCTAAGAGAAAAGCCGATATTTCATTTCGCTATCGCGCGTGTAACGACGACGAGGGAAACGAGGGCCGAGTTGATAACGATATCATCGGAGATTGCGCGAGGGGGAGACAAGTGACACCAAATAGCCTGTGTATCAGACGAAAAAAAACTAAAGATATTTTCCTCTAAACCTGTCTCAATTGTTCTTCTATCGGAGAAAAACATATTTCATTAGTTAGAAATTTTTTATTTCTGGAATTCTTTGAAAATTAAATTAGTTCGATGGTTGGAACTTTTATCTATATTAAGTCATGAAGGGATATTTTTAATTAGAAGGCAGCAAAATAAATAGTACTAAAAAGAATTACTAAATTATAAAAGAAAAGAAAACCGATAATGATAATTTTTTATATTATCTGAGGAAGAGGAAAAAATTCTTGTTCAGTTATACTTTTAGATTACTAATGAACACGAGAAAATTATTGAGTAGAAAATTCATTGGCCAAGCTGATGAGTTGCCGATACTAATGGGTTTACCGATGACAAGTTAAACCACTGTTTCATTAAACTTAACAGTCTCGTACCTTTCTACTATAATATGTATGCTACTCTCATAGCTATAGCACGACAATGGGCGACTCTTAGACAAGTTTCTAAAACACTTCGAAGCTCATTCGCCAGGAAACGACGATAATCGCAACTTCCACCGCCGATTTTAAAGTCCTACCCTGCTTTTCCAAGTCTATTAAGAACAAAACTTATCTTACTTGTTATAAATTATCAATTCTCGTGAATAAATTTCAACTTAGAAGACTTTAATATCATTTTTTTTCCTTATTTTAGCTTTTCATTCTCTTCAAGAGGCTTACCTTCAGGTTGGTGTGGTGCGTAGATATTTAAGTAGAGACAATCTTCACTTTGATTCTTCAAGTATGGCAGAAGTCGTTCGAGATACTCATGTCGACCGGGTTTTACCTCGTCACGTAAATTTGGCAGCACTTGGGGACAAACTGGAGCAAATTCTTGAGCAAATCTAATATCTCGCCATGGTTGTGGTGATCTTGGTGGAGAAAATCGAAATGGACCTACTGGAGGCTCTGCATAAGGAACACCTAAAAGAATGAAAAAGAGTAGATATGATGGGTTTTATCTGTAACATCTCTCTTACTGCAGTTCGAACATTCTGGGTCAAGTGCAGTAAACGCTTCGCCAGAGGGAATTGAACCACCGAAGGTACACAAAGCTTTCGTCTTTCTACAAAGTTGACAGCTGAGTAAAGGAGAACATTCCCTTGCTCTTACAAATTCTTTTGTCAAGAAGTTTAAATTTTTGGGACGAAAGTACTAAACATAGAAAACAGGAAAAATGATAAGGTAAAAAATATTTAATAGATTTACTAATGTAAATATTTTTTTCCATTACGTTCTAGTTTATTTACCGTTTAACTAAAAAGTAAAATATTAATAAATATATTTAAATATGAATATTTATATTAATATTCATGGTTATTAAGTAACGCTAATGAAGTCTATTTATCATATCGAAGCTATCCAAACAAAATTATTACAATATTTGTTTACTATCTAAACAGTAAAAAATTATTGTGTTTATTTGTGTATCCTGAATAAGCGTTTTGAAATTCAATAAATTTTTCTCTGTTAAAAAAAAAACTCATTTAGGGTGATTTTTTGTCTCAACAAATGAAAATAAATGTATCAATAACTGTTTCCAATGTATTAAATCACATATAAAATATTCTAAAAAGAATATTTGTTTGAATATATATTTTTTAAATTTCAATAAAATAAACTCTCGAATACAGTATACTAAATACGAGTACTTTGTTTTTAAATATCAAATAAAATCATTCCATTTCTCATAGATATACCCTATTTGGTAAAAAATATATTCTAGTACTTTTTTTTAGAGTGTGAAGGTATTCAAACAACCACGAAGGAACGTGCGAATGTTTCAGAGCAGATGGCAAGTGACTATGGAGGTTTGAGCGCGACAGAGAAAAGGAAATAAAGACATGGAACATGCTTGTATCTGAGGGACTGACGAAAATAGGTACATCCAATTCGTCGCTGTCGTTTTTGACTCTTGAACGTGTACACCAGTGATTCTATCCCTCCTTTTTTCGTTATCTATACACGAGAATACTAACACGTGCATTTTGCGCACTAAAAATCACTGCACTCTAATTCATGTTCTATACGCCTAGAACGTGTCAAAGCAAAAATGTAATATAAACATTAAAATGAGGATATCTGTACATGAGGGCTTTAAACTTATGCAGAGATGCTTTAACTATAGGCATTCTGCCAAGAAAAATCTCAACATTCTATAAAATTACTTTTCTATGTTAAAAAAATAATTTTTGTCAATGTCAATAAATATATAAATACATCACAAAATCTACATGACGTGACTTTTTACTCTACGCCATTGACTCACCAAGAAATACGTCGACCAGCTGCAGACGAGGGTTTGTTTTTGGCTGCACAACTAATCCCTTCAATCTTCCCTGTTCGACACGCACTTCTTTCACCATTCTATCATCATCCCAGCCTTGATTATGATACCTCTGGTGCCCGTATTGATTGTAAGATCCATAATAGTCACGATGTTCTGTTAAAATTTGACTGCATGACATTAAAAGAAAAACGATAATTTCCAGTCTGATCATTTTTCTTATTTTCTCTTATCAGTTTTCAATAATCAGTAACTTTACATTTTTCATGTCTTGCCCAACCATTCTACATTGTTTTATGAATTTTTAAACAAGCGTCGCATGTTTATGTTTTCAGGTCAGTTGATATTTCGAAGTTAATGCGGCGACTTTGCTCAACGATTAGCTCTTCAACTCTGGGTGATATTCTTAGCACGCGTAGCAAACAAGGGTGAACGTACGTCGGTTAAAGAGCAGGCAAGAGAGATCGGAGCTTGAATTTGACGCAAATAGAAGACTTGTGTTGGTAAACTTGAAGGCAGTACACCTTTCGTCAAGTCATGACAAACGTTTTCTGAGGCCCAAAGTAGATGGCAAATTTTAAAGCCATCGAATCCACAAAGTTTGTTTGGTTTATGTGAGGTTCGAGCACTGCTGATGTTCTACAGCGTCGAGGGAAAACGGATGAAAACGTAAATTTCACGTCAACCGCAAACTCACGGGAATATTGCAGTTGAGCTTGCGATATAACAATAACTCTGACATGGATTTAATATCAGGAGTAATCTCCACAATACTATCAAGAAAAATTATTTCCTTTGTTTATTGTTAGCTGTCTTTCAGCTTGTTGATGGCGAGTAGAGCATTCAATTGAGTAATCAAGTTGTATTTAATTAGAAAGTAAAAGATGTTGCTCTAAAAGTGATTCCACTGGCTGACGAATTTTCGCTTTTCCTTTGATACCGATGATGAAAGGTCTTTAAAGTACTACAATTAAAGGAATAACCGTGGGAAATCAGCTTGGATTGATTGAATGACGGTACAGCGTCTAATTAATACTCTCCAAATCGTTTATTTTCTTCAAGTGCTACGAAAGCGTTAAAAAAAGCATTGTTTGTGTAAAAGAAATGGGAAAAGGGTATTAAAACGTGCTTAGAAGAGCTGAGAAAATCGTTGAAGGAGTTTAACGTAGCTTTTTCTTTTACACTTTGATATCTTCTGTATCTGTCTTTATTACTACGAACTTAGTCGTATTAAAGACTGTGGGTTTCAAGAGCTTTATCGATTAACCAGGACATTAAAGAACCCCTTAAGAATCCACAAACGATGAAATTGACATACAGCCTTGTATAGCTGTTTTATAATTTCTTTGAACTGATTAAATATTCATTGATTAATTAACGAACCACTTTAGAAGAATTCAATTTCACTGTAAGTTATCACTTCACTGATGGTTTTTTTAAAAACTCAACTCACTTATTATTATTTATTTCACATTATTAATTTATTTAAATTAATTAAAATATATTTATATTCACAGGGCAAATCTTTGAGACAGTTCTCTCGTGAGAACGTTATAAGAACTGAGAGTACGGAAATACAAAATCTAAATTTAAGTTGACGTGAAGATGGGAGCAGCGCCTCAACGTGGTACCCTCGTGAAGTGAACATTTATATTTTTGGTAATAGATAGAGAAATGACAAAGAGGGAAAGAAGAATGATAATTTATAAATTTTCTCGTGGTTTATTTGCTCGTTATTTTAGCATAAGAAGAAAGGTACTTACTACAAGAAATTGTGGGGATAAACTTTAGCATCTTACTAGTGACGATAACAATGGATCTCAAAACCTCGAAGGCATTTCCATCTGATAAATATTAAAATAAGTCTAGACTGATAAGCCAATGCTATCTAATCGACAGCAGTCATCTTAAAATTGACCTTAAAAAGGTGCAAAGTTGAAGATTGTGAAAACCTATCCCTATTGTATTTATATTCTACATTTACATTCTGTGAAAAGATGATAGATGGTCTGTGTTAATTTAGCAATTTCATATTCATTTTTTGATTTAGAGTTAATATAAATATCAATTTTGTTGAGAATGATTGATAAAATTTACTAGCGAATCATTTCTAAAGAAGAATTTTGACTTTGTAGAACTTGATCTAACGTCATTGCATCTTTCAATCCTCTTGAAAACATATTTCCATTTCTTTTATTTTCATTCTCTTACATTAACTCATAGGCGAATCTTTTCGTCTTGTCGATTCTCATTTTTCGAGCCAGTAGCATCAAATCTCGCGCTCGAGATACACTTTGAAATACTTTTTGAGAGAAATGTCGTAAGATACTACGGAATGAGTGGCTTGAAGAAAAATCCTGTTCATATCGATAGAGTTACTATGAGGAAAAAGGAGAAGGTTTGCTCGCCAACGAAGTAAAAGCACGGGTTTTTCCGACAGGAAGACAGAAGAGCAGACATTGGACAAGAGTGTGAGATAGTTGGGAGAATAGCAACGGATATATAGATTCAGTTAACGACTATCTATACGTCGAGTTCAGAAGCGACAGTGCCAAGCAGCTTGCTGAAATCTTCGCACAAAATCACGAAGCAGGAACGTACTCAGACAACCAACTTTCTTTCAAACGTTTTTTATAATTTTATTCGAATTTTGGTCTGAAGTTTTTATTCATAAGGAATCTGGAAAGAGAATTTTCATGAACCCAATAACAAAAAAGCTAGACAACTTTTTTCAATTCTTGATCGATGACAATGAGAAACAATATCCATAATGTTTGAAAAATAATTCATAACTACGCTACTGAAACATACGATTCGTTTGTCTTTTTTACTTTCGCATCTACTCATGTTATCACATTCAATTTCAGAGATTTATACGTTTCTATCCTACTGAGATTTACGGCAAATACTTACGGATAATAGAGGACATTGTATGAGAATGTTTAGTGGTCATTTTTTAATAGAAACAAGTAAAAAAAACAATACTTTCATATCACGACACTTTGAATATTATTTTTTATTGCTATAATGAAATTCGTTTTTACAGCATCTATAAACTCCGTATGAGTATAGGGTCATCATCAAACAATATAAATGCTCTATAACATTATTGCTTGTTAAAAAGAGTTAGAACAATGCAATATGTGATTGTTATTTCTATTTAAGTATCACAAAAAAATCATATTCATATCTATTTATTACTCTTCAAACAGAATATCAATTATATTAATGTAATCTATTAATTCTGACTCCATTGATGGATAAATAAGAATTTTTATTATAGAACTACTTATGTTTCTTCGAAGTCTAGAATTCGTTAATTACATAACAAAATTCCAAGTTCTGTATACAACAGTCTAAGAAAAAAAAATAGTAGCTCACTTCCTCGTTTACTGCTATACTTGTCGCTCTTCGCGTTCATCCAATCTTCTACTTCACGATCTCGTTAAGTCCGCCTTTCGCTTGAGCCTTGTCGCACCAACTTTTAATCGCGTCGAAACTATAAGGTTGTTAAACGTCGAGACCTCACAACTATAGGTGATCGTCATCGTCTCTGTTGTCAATTGCACTCAGGCTATTTTCCTCAACACAAATTCTTTTTTTAATTATTCTTTACTTCTTAGTGGAATAAAAAAAATTTCTGGGCGATACTTTCATTAATTTTGTTCAAAGAAAAAATCCATGAACTTATAACATCAATAATCTAAAGTTGAAGATTATCATCATTCATTTTGAATTCTTGATTACTATAGCATGGTTTTGAAAAAGAAAACTTTATGAAATTATTAATGAATTTCTCTATGAATAGAAAACTTTCTGTTAAATCTTGGGATTTAATTAAATTGCATAATAAAGTTGATAAGAGTTCTAGATCTATTTCTCTTTCAATATTTTTTCTTAACTATTAATCTATGCAATGATCTATACACAAATACACTTCTATTACAAAGAAGTTATCTTAAATAGATCACATTAACAAAGAACTTCACAACTATGAATTGAACATGAAATGTTATAGTTACAAGGTATAACGATAACATTTTCCTCCTCTTTGTTATTCGAGAAACGTTGCACAAAGTCTGTTTGACATACTATATATATGGAATACATTGGCGAATATTTCAAAGTGAAATTGCAGGAACCTCTAGACTTTGTCGAGACGTAAATTGCTTTATCGCTAAACCTCTACAATGATCTGATCACAATACATAGTGAGTTGATGACAGTTTTTGATGAGATATCATTTACGAAACTCTGATAAATTTTTTTTTTTTCAATCGTTTACTGCAGATATAGCGTTAGAAGATCGACAATACTTGACGTATCGATCACAATTGGTGCTGCAAACGAACCAGCATGAGACCGGGGAATAGGAAAGCAATAAGTGTTACTATATATGCCTTACCTGTCTCTTCCTGTCACGCTTGACTTCTGAAACAACTGAACCGACGACGTCGATTTTCGAGCCATTCGTGCATCTCTTATATTCGTTTTTTTCTTTATCAGTATCAATTGACTTTAAAATCTATTTACCAAAGTTACTTTGATAATTTCAATTAAAGTTAATTTCTTTTTAAATAAATGAGTCTTCATTCAAAATAATGTATTACTGAATGTCAGACATTTTCCAATATTATATTTAATAAATAAACAATTAATTGAATGAAGAGAATAATGTAATTTTAATGAGAACATAGTAATAATATACTTCGAAGAAAATATGTCCATGAATTTCGCTTATTATATACTGTAAAGTTTTGTAAAATTTTGAAATTCTAATTTTAAAAAAATTGAAGGAGCACTCGTTATCAAGGAATTGTTGATAGGGGGCGGTAGCGCTATTTTTTACACAACGGAATTCTCGAACGTTCAAGAAGCCAATATGGCGAAAAAAGACGGTTGTTGTTTATGAAAGCTCATCGCGTCCTCAGTATTTTTTATGAAAAATAAAATTTTAATTTAGTTTATAAAAACAACGACTATTTATTTTTTAGATGCTCACTTGCCTAGCTGAAATGTATATGTAAAATAAGCAAGGTTTATTCGTAAAGAGTTTTAATTTAATTTTTTTCACTGGGTACCTTCTGTTTATTAAAAGTTCACGTTTAGTTTATGATCAAAGTCTGTGTGTACGTCAAATAAGTCCATGGTCTTTATTACAAAAGCTGAAATGACATATTTTATATGACAAAACTGAATATTTTTCTTCTCAGTCAATGTCAATAATTTAAAGTTGTGCAGTAATACCTTCTTTTTTAGTTATGTTGACGAATTTAAACTAATAACATTAAAAAGTTATTATGAAGGCAATTCTCCTAAATCGGATATCTCTGAATATTATACTTGGTATGTTTTTATACACTTTCTTAAAAGTAAAAGCCAACAAAAATTCATAAAGGTTTTGTTGCGCTGTTTACTATATGCTAATTAATTTTTTATTAATAAGCATGTATAATTATTTAATCAAAGTTATTTAAATATTCACTTTATTAATTTTTTTCATATTTAATAACAGCCCCGAATAAACTGTAAAATGAGAGGCTTATGAAAAACAAAGCGAAACCATGAAAGGTTCAATTAGGCTCGTCTGTCTGCTAGCTAAGCATCATCATACTTATGTTTTCACTGAAGCCTATCACCTATATACAGCTAAAATATCATCCACCTTACCTTGAAGACCATGAGTGTGAGTAGATAGTCTGCATGCTGATGTAAAAGGGAGGAGAGAGCTTAAATTAGAACGACGATGAGGGTGGAGTTTTGGGGAAGCATCTTTCCATTTAGATCCCGGCTTTTCTCAAGTAAGTGAACTTCCAATCTTAACTTTGCAAGTAAGACTCTCGAAAACGTGGGGTCGTTTCAAATACCCTATCTCAATTGAAGCCTTGCTCTTTTTTATATACTACATACATATTACTGTATATTATCCCGAACTTAAGACATATCTTCTTCTACTTGCAGCATCTTTGCAATTCTCCAAGACTGTGCTTCCAGCCATTTCGGATTATTTCGAAATGTAGAGCTTTAGAGGAAGCTATTTTATTTTGTTTCTAAATCTTGCTAAATAAATCCAGTTTAAATAGTTCAAATTATTGAGACATATATAGGAATAGACCAAGTGATTATCGTGAATTCTTTTCACGTCTCGTCTGCGGTAAATTTTCTAGCAACAAGTGGCGTACAATTTCTACCCTACCAATGCACTTACTCTATGCACATGTACGTACATATGTACTTTTTACAAATGTACAGACAAAATCTAACACATGGAGAGTGAGTCGATATCCCGTGGCGGTTCAAACACTGTGGTTAAGCTTTGAGCTTTGTGTGAAATTTAAACTATCACTGATCTCGTATCTTAGTTGATAAAAATAAATATATCCTAACTTTATTCGATTTAACACAATCGTTAAAATTTTACTCAATAGAAGGCTAACTTTGAAGGATTTATCTGCTTTGTTGTTGTTTTATGTATTGACCATTGAAGGATAAATTTTATCGTAAAAGTGAGACGAAACAATTGTTTTTATTTATTTCATGTAATTTTCTTCTGT